GAGAGCAGTGGCTCCGTCTCCTCCCGGAACTGCCCCACGTCTGTTTGCTTTTTGAGGGCCCAGCCACCCTGCTCTAGACCTCAGACTGTTGTTGGGAGGAATGAGAGCGAGAATGTGTGTCTGTGTCCTGGTCTAGGAGGACAGTTTCCGGTTACTCGCGTTTGGTGTGCTGTTAGTGCTCTGTGGTTTTTAATGAAAGACCATTGTCAGGCCCAGGTGTACCATCTGTTCTTAATTGATGATTTTATTTTTTTAATACTGCGAAAGTAAGGAAGGTTTTGTGAAATAGGTTTCTGTGTCTATCGGGATACTTTGGGCTTTTCCCATGTTTGTTCTGCTCTGGGATAATTGCTTATGTATGGTAGCCGTCCTTGCATTCCCGGAGTAACTCTCAGTTGCGCACAGTGTGCTAAGCTTTGGTTGTGCTCCCGGATGGCATTTGGTAATATTTTATTGAGGCATGTGACACATTCATGATGGATATTTGTGTGCATTTTCTTTATGATGTGTGCTTGTTTTGGATGTTGGGATAACGCTGGTCTGATGGAATAAAAAGGAAAGTTTTTCCTCTTCCTCTCCCTTTTGGAAGGGAAAGAACGGATTTTAATTATCTTTTAAATGGGAGTTCTCACCAGTAGAGCCATCTGGTCCTGGATTTTTCATGTGTATTTGTTTACTACTGCAGTCTCTTTTCAAAGTATAAGTGTATTTAGGGTTTCTTGTTTTACTGTATTCAGTTTTAGTGGTTTGTGTCTTTCTGACAATCAGTCCACACTGTAGCAACATTGACCAAATCCTTGTGCCTTGGCTTTTCCATAGTGTTTTCTGATTATTATTTTGGTAAGGTAGGTAATGTGTCCTCTCTGTCGTTTCTGTTGTGAAGTCACTTGAGTCTGTTCCCTTTTTTCCCTTGTTTCCTGTGGATAAACGTTTTGTCCATGTCACTGAGTGTTCAAGAATAGTATTTGGTCTCACTGAATTTCTGTTGTGATATTTTCTATTCGTTGGATTTATATCAGTTTGTATATTTTTCCTCCTTCCACTTTCTTAAGATTTACTTTGCTGTTCTAGTGTTTTAAGGTAAAATCCCCACTTTGGGAGACCCAGAAAAATTACTGGCTCCTGGCTTTGGATTGCCCCAGCTCCAGCCATTGTGTCAATTTTGGGAGGTGTACTAGTGGATAGAAGACCCCCCCCGCTTCTGTATCTCTGCAACTCTGCCTTTCAAAGAAATGCATAAATCTTTTAAAAGAAAGATTGACAGTAGTTTTATCATTAGAAACAACATATGCTACAAGAGAACGGAGAAACTCTTTGAAGTACTGAAAGATAAAGAGTGTCAGCATAGAATTCTTTGCACAGTGAATGTATCTTTCCAGTGTGAGAGTGAAATAAAGACTCCAGACATAGAATCACAGAAATAATTCATCACCAGCACATCCACACTACCAGAAATATAGAAAAAGTCCTTTAGGGAGAAAGAAATGTTACTAAGTGGGTATTTGAATCAACACAAAAGATGAAAACATGAGAATTGAAAGCTACATGGTTAAATGTATACAGATTTTTAAACTGTTTAGTCACTTTAAAAGATAAATGACTTTTTTACAGCAAAAATACTAAACATGTAGCATACAGTTTATAGCTTTTTAAAGTTAAATGTGTGGCAACTGTAGTACAACTGTAGGGAGAGTGAAATGGAAATACACCATTTGACATGGTACAATATCACTTGAAGATAAATGTGATAAATTTAAAATATATATCATGAAACCTAAAGAAGTCACTAAAGGTAAATAAGTAGGGGTATAATTAACCCATAAAAGAAATAAAATGGAATCACGGAAAGGAAACTGATCCAAAAGTAGGTAGATAAAGAGGAAAAACAGAACATAGAACAGATAGAAAACACCTAACTAGGAGATTAATTTAAACTCAGCTATTTCATTAATTACATTAAATGTAAATGGTATAAGGAACTCAGTTACAAGGCAGAGAGATTATAACATTGAATCAAAAAGCAAGACCCAAGTATAGGCTCCCTAAATGAAATTCAGTTTGAATATAATAGCTTGAAAATTGAAATATGGAGAAAGAGATACACATTAGTCATCTACAAAACTGGACTAGCTACATTAGCAACACAGATCATGGAATATTTTTAGGATCATGGGATATTTTCAATGATAAAGAAAGTCAATCCATGATGATAAATGCTTTGATCCATCAGTAAGATATCAATCTAAGTATTTATAGACCTAGTAACACAGCTTCAAGATGCTGACACAAAAGTTGATAGAACTGCAAGGTTTATCTGAAAATCCATAACTAAAATGGGAGATTTCAATATTCTTATCTCAGTAATCAGTAGAGCAAGCAGATAAAAGTTGGTATGGAAACAGTCTTAAAGATATCACAAACCAGTTGACTTAATACACATATGTAGAACACTGAAATCAATAACAGAACACACATGTTTTGAAAGCACTCAGAAAATATATATGGATGTAATTCTTTAGGTCATAAAGGAAGTTTTAATAAATTTAAAAGGATTTACTTAGTGCTTCAAGGAATACATGAGAGCTATATTGAATGACAAAGATTTCTGGAAATTTTCCATTGTTAACACAATAAACAACACTTTTAAATAACCTGTGAGTCAAAGAATAATGACTAAAAGACAACTTTTTATGTTATCCTACCAGCAACCCCAGGCTCTTGGGGAAGCTGTTTTTCCCTCAGGTGGGATGACATCCTCAGTTAGCTAAGAGATAGGGCGTATGGCTGCCTGTGTCTTGTTTCTCAGGATAGTCAGGAGATGGCCCCACCGTGATCACGTGTGTGAGGGCAAAGAGGAAGTGTTTGTTGACACAAAGAATGGAACACTGTATCCACATGGGTGTGGGTATACATCCCAGGCAAGCTACATTTCTTGTTTCATGAGAGTTTTTATCTGATGGTCAAAGTAGTACCCAAAGCAAGATTTGGGGAATTAAGATCATAATCTTGTTAAATTCTGAAATGTTCCATGTGTCATCTTTCTCATCTAACAGACTGGTGTTGTCATTTGGATTTAAATTTCATGATGGCAGAGAAGAAAAAGATGCTAGAGACCAGTTAGGACAATAATTTTTCAAAGATTTTTCTTTTTTGTACAGAAGAGGACTAGGAGTGTTTATGTGTCATCATAGTCCCTAGGGTATTAAACAGTGATTATAACTTTTTTTCCTATTCAGGTAAATATTAGAATACAAGTGACTGATGACAGTAACTCTGTTCTGAAATATTTTTAAGTAGCTAATTCAGAAAATTCAACTCAAATTTATAAAAATAACGTGAATTTTAATACATTATTTTAAGTAGTCTTACAACATCAAAAGTGCAATTTTCTTTTCTGTGCTGTATTATAGATGGTGAATTTGAGCCCAAACACACAGGGTTAGTTTTTCACCAATTAATACAATTAATAGCAAAGACAGGATAAGAGAAAACATTTTCTTTCTTCTAGAATTATATGTGCTGGGTCCGCTACATCAGTCCTCTTTCTATGTTCTGTATCGATAATAATGATCATGATAATAATAAGATGATGTTGATGAGGATGAGGATGAACTCCAGGGACCTTACCCATTATCTTTGTAGGCCAGTACTTGTTATACTGTGGACACTTAATAATGTTTACTGAATGAATATACAATGATAACTCCTCATAGAGCTATGATTTTTAGGTGAATACAGGATCTGGGACCTCGATCCAGGTCTCCCACATGGGTATCAGGTTCCAGGTACTTGAGCCATCACCTGCTGCCTCCAAAGGTCTGCATTGACAGAAAGCTGGAATTGGGAGCTCGGGCTGGGAATTGAACCCAAGCATTCTGATATGGGATGTGGGTGTCCCAAGCCATGTCGCAACCAATTCACCAAATAGCCGCCCTCCATATTAGCTTTTTTTAGAAAATTATTATTTATTATTATTTATTTATTTATTGAAAGTCAGAGGTATGCAAAGAGAAAAGGACAGGCAGAGAGGAAAGAAAAAAAGAGAGAGAGAGGGCTCCTATATGCTGAGTCAATCCCCAGTTGGCTACAATGGCTGGAGCTGCACTGATCTGACGCAGACCAGCTTTGGCTGGAATTTTGCTGTGAAGTCCTCTGTGTAATGTGGTCAGTGACATCACCAAAGGTTGTGCAGCCAGCAGCACAACCTTAGTTTATGTTTGCCTTAGTTTATGTTGCCTTGGGGATTTATGAGCCTAGTGTGCCAGGCAGGTTGGGTTTTGTGGCTATGACACAGTTACTGTAGCTCAGTTAACAGAAGCACCCTGCAGAATCGGAAAGCACCTTCAGATTCAGACTCCTGGCGCCCTGCTTGTCCACCATTCATTTCATGTGATGCTGATGTTACTGGAGGGGTGGGGAGGGGTCACAGCCCCCAGAAGCATGGACTTGGCACTTAGCTTTTCAGACGAGGTGCTTCCCGGAGTTACTGTCACAAACACAGCACTGACCTGCGGTGTCAAGTGATCACGTGTGGGAGCAGGAGCAGGAGGAGGAAGGAGCCAGCACTGGTCAGGACAGCTTATTCTTGGTGTGTGTGAGCAGTGCCAATAAGCTGTCAAAAAAAATTATGGTTTAAAACATACAGCCGGCTGGCACCACGGCTCACTAGGCTAATCCTCTGCCTGCAGTGCTGGCACACAGGGTTCTAGTCTGATTGGGGCGCTGGTTCTGTCCCGGTTGCTCCTTTTCCAGTCCAGCTCCCTGTTGTGTCCCAGTAACGTAGTGAAGGATGGCCCAAGTCCTTGGGCCCTGCACCCATATGGGAGACCAGGAGGAAACACCTGGCTCCTGGCTTCAGATCTGCGCAGCGTGCCAGCCGCAGCACGCCAGCTGTAGCAGCCACTTGGGGGTGAACCAATGGAAAAGGAAGACCTCTCTCTGTCTCTCTCTCTCACTGTCTAAATCTGCCTGTGAAAAAAAATACAGCCCACAGCCTTCAATTCACTTTCACCAAGACGCTCAAGCAGCTCAGAGGGAGCACAATTGATTCTGTTTTGACAGGTCCTGATGTACGCTAAGCACTACCTTATTTATTTGTCATGATGTTCTTAGGAAGAAGGTGGGATTGTGTACATTTTACAGCTGGGAAAACGAAGCTGTCAGTGATGAAGCGTGTGCCTAGAGTATTTCAGTTAGAACGAAGGTACTTCAATGAATTCCTAGAAAATGGAATTCAAAGATAACTTGATTTTGTTGCAAAAATGTTTGAATTCCACAACGTAGGTTTTTTTTTTAATAATAGATGTTTTCATGAAGTTTTTTCAAGACCTCTCACGTAGGTATCCATGTCAAAATTTTTTATACCAAAACCAATTTTTTCGGAGCAGGCATTTGGTGCAACAGTTAGGTCACTTCCTGGGACACATCCTTTTTGGAGGGCTGGACATAGACCTTGCTGATTTTTTCAGAAGTCTACTTTTTCCGTCACATCCGTGACAATGAGCTCTGGCAGGACATCATGCTTTGGTGCCACTCCCAGACATGCATGTGCAGTTCCTCTGTGGAGGAGCGGGGGGAACTGTGACCCAATACTCTGTTTTCTCATTAGCCCCAGTTTGTCTTAACCTGTGAGCAAGAGCACATGTTTAGGAAAGTAAGAGGACAGTCTTACGGCAGATGGATTTCTGCTCCCACGCCTTCCGTGGGAAGGACTTGCCCTGCCAGAAGTCAGAGGCAAGGCAGCACTGGTGTATCTCTGTGTTTGTGGTGCAGGTGGGTAAGTGGGAGAACCAGACCCTGAGCCCAAGGCCCACGGTGTGGCCCTGGTACAAGTCCTTCTCTGACTGTGAGCTGGATCACAACCACCTGAGCATCATCACCCTGGAGGAGGCCCCCTTCGTTATGGTGGAAGACATCAACCCGCTGACTGAGGCGTGTGTGAGGAACACGGTGCCGTGTCGGAAGTTCATCAAAATCAAGTGAGTGCCAGGGAGGCTGTGGTCTGGACATGCCCACGCCTGTCACATAGTGCAAGTCACTGATCACAACAGCATCTGTACTACAAAACATAACACAGAAACACTGTTGTGATAGCTGTAGTGTTAGCAATGGGCTTATGTTTATGATTGCCTGGAGATGCACTAAGTTTACATCCGTTAAATTCTCACAGCCATATGAGGTGAGGGCGTTTGCCATTTACAGTTGATACAGTTGAGTTATGGGCAGGTTGGAGAACACGGCTGAAGCCATCCAGAGGTATGGCTGACTCCAGCTGTGTTCTTACCCATGGTGCTCAGTCATCCCCCAGCATCCTAAAAAGTCTCTCCTTAAAGGATTTCTTTCTTTCTTTCTTTTTTTTTTTTTGACAGGCATAGTGGACAGTGAGAGAGAGAGAGACAGAGAGAAAGGTCTTCCTTTGCCGTTGGTTCACCCTCCAATGGCTGCCATGGCCGGCACACTGCGGCCAGCACACCGCACTGATCCGAAGCCAGGATCCAGGTGCTTCTCCTGGTCTCCCATGTGGGTGCAGGGCCCAAGCACTTGGGCCATCCTCCACTGCACCCGGGCCACAGCAGAGAGCTGGCCTGGAAGAGGGGCAACCGGGACAGAATCCGGCACCCCGACCGGGACTAGAACCCAGTGTGCCAGCACCGCAAGGCGGAGGATTAGCCTATTGAGCCATAGCGCCGGCCTTGTTACCACTCTTAATTATTAATATATTATTTTCAGTTAACTATATGCTCATATGTTTAACCATATAATAAGTAGAGAACAGTATGGAGAAAAAAAAAACACTGTAGAAAATCATCTATCACAGAATGTCAGTTTCCCTCCTACCCATTACCCTTTAGGTCTCTATTAGTTACCACAAATCAGGGTAATATGGTATTTGTCCTTGCAGAATGGCTTATTTCACTAAATATACTGGTTTCCAATTATATTTTGTTGCTAAAGACAGCATCTCTGTAATCCCCAATGGGTTGTGTTACCTAGTGTATATAGGCCATGATTTCTTTATCCAGTCATCAGTTCATGGACATCAGGGTTGATTCCATGTCTTAGCTATTGTGAACTGAGCTGTACTAAACTTGGAGGTGCAAATAATCCTTTCAAATATGCTGATTTCATTTCCTAGGGGTAAATCACCTTGAGATGGATTGCTGAGTATAGTAGATTTATTTCCAGCTTTCTGAGGTATCTCTACTTGCTTCCACAATGGCTTCACCAGTTTATGTTCCCACCAACAGTGGATTACGTCCCCATAGTTGTCACATCCTCAGTAGCATTCATTGTTTGTTGATTTCTGTATGTGAGCCATTCTAACTGTTGTGCAGTGAAACCTCATTGTCATTTGGATTTGCAATTCTGTGATGGTTTGTGATCTTGAGCATTTTTTCAAGTGTCTGTTGGCCATATGAATGTCCTCACTTGAAAAAATGCATGTTCAAGTCCTTTTCCCATTTCTAAACTGGATTTTTGGTTTTGTGGTTGTTGAGTTCCTTGAACTCTTTATAGATTCTGGATATTAATCTTTTATCAGTTTCATAGTTTGCAAGTATTTTCTCCCATACTTTCAGTTGCCCTTTCACTTTGCTGAGTGTTTCTTTGTAGCGCAGAAGCTCCTCGGCTTGATGGAATCATATTTGTCTCTGCTTTTATTGCTTGTGCTTCTGGGATCTTTTTCCCTAGAAATCTTTGCCTATGCCAATACCTTTCGGTTTTCCCCAATGTTCTCTAGTAGTTTGATGAGATTGGGTTTTAGATTTTGTTCCTTGAAGTATTTTTAATTGTTTTTTGTATAAGGTGTAAGGCATGGGTCTTCTTTCATAGTTCTGCATGTGGAGGTCCAGTTTTCCCAGGACCATTTTTTGAAGAGACTGTCCTTTGCACCTGGGATTGATCTTTAGCTCATTTGTCCAATAGAATTTGTTTGTAGATGTGTGCACAGATTTCTGGAGTTTCTTTTCTGTTCCATTGGTCTATATGTCAATTTTTTGCTTATACCATGCTGTTTTGATTGTAACTGCCCTGTTCTGTGTCTTGCAGTCTGTCGTTGCGATGCTTTGAGCTTTGTTATGTATGTTTTAAATTTGTATTTAACAAATATAAATTTCAAAAGTGCAACTTTTGGATTATAGAGGCTTTTCCCCCCATAACCTCCCTCCCACCCACAGCCATCCCATCTCCCACCCCTCTCCCATCCCATTCTTCATCAAGATTCATTTCCAATTAGTTTTATATACAGAAGATCAACTTAATATATACTAAGTAAAGATATCAACAGTTTGCACCCACCAGATACACAAAGTATAAAGTACTGTTTGAGTACTAGTTTTACCATTAATTCGCATAGTACAACACATGAAGTATAGTGCTCATTAAGAAATGCCACTCATTTATTTTTTTCCCCCATTTTCTTTTTAATAGGTACAGTAGCATCTTAGGAACATCAGATTACTTGTTAGAACAAGGAAACTGTGTCTTCCAAAACCTGCCTTACAGACTGTCAGCCAGGATATCTCCTGCACGAGGCCTTTATGAGAAGGAGACAGGCAAAAAATGCAGCGTTAAGAACACAGTTGCATAGGGAAGCAATGCCTCTCTACATGTTTTCCTCAAACTTCTATTTCAGATCGTTGGGCAGAGAGAGTGCATATTCAGGGAGTTCTAAACCCCTGCCCGAGCCCCCATCACAGACAGAGAGATGCAGTGGTAAAATGGACCTGTATATTACATCCTCAATCCCCACTTCTGGTTGAGACAAGGGTTACTTAGAGGACTTTTCTCATCACTCTGGTTAATGTGTTTCTGGTTTGGATCAGAAGTGAGCAGGAGCCTGTGGCATTATGGAAAGGACCTGAGTTGATGTAAGTCTGAATTGAGGTCAGTCCGTGGCTTGACCTGTTTCTAGGGGAGTTATATGGCATCTTTCATCCTTCTCTGCCTCTTCCTCAAAATGGAGATAATCGTGGTTTCATCATCCGTTTGTTGTGAAGATAAATAAGTTCAGGTACTTGCGGTAGTACCTGGCACACCCAACGTTCTCTTTAAGTAGTCTTTGTCCTTATTAAAAATGTGGATGTGTGTGCAGGAAAGGGTGTGATAGTGGGGAGGAGCTGGGGGGAACTGTGGCCTGATACTCTGTTTTCTCTTTAGCGCCAGTTTGTCTTAACCTGTGGGCAAGTGCATGTGTTGAGGAAAGTAACAGGACAGCCCTTATGGCAGATGGATTTCTGCTCCTGTACCTTCCATGGGGAAGACTCACCCTGCTGGAAGTCAGAGGCACAAAGCAGCAAAAAGCCTAAAATTGGATTCCAGATGAAATAATCTTACTTTAATTTAAAAATATTTAAATGAACACTGACCACAAACAATGCGTAGTCTGGTGCTTTGGGGACCTGACTCTGTTCTGTCATCCAAGGCACTCTTTCTCCAGGTTGTCATTTTAATTTGTCATTCCTTGGGTATTAGATCACTGGATGGTTGAGTATATTTCTTTAGTTATTGTGAAAGTTGAAGGTGGAGGGAGGAAAGAGAGAGAGGGAAGGAGTCTTCCATCTGCTGGTCTACTACCAAATTGGCTGCAATGGGCAGAGCTGAGAGTTTCTGAAGCCAGGAGCCAGGAGCCTCCCTGGGGTCTCTTCATGGGTGCAGAGGCACTAGGACTTGGGGCATTTTTTACTGCCTTCCCAGACCACAGCAGAGAACTGCATTGGAAGTGGAACAGCCAGGACTCGAACTGGCGTCATGGGATGCCGGCACTGCTGGTGGTGGCTTGACCCACTACCCCACAGTGCCGCCTTCCGGAAGCCGTTCCCCCTGGGATCCAGCTGTCTGCTAACACGCCTGGGAAAGCGGAGGGAGACGGCCCAAAGACTTAGGCCCCTGAACCCAGAATGGAGCACCAGATAAAAAGTCCCTGGCTTCTGCTTCGGCCTGTCCCAGTGCTGGCCTTTGTAGACACCTGAGGGGTGAACCCCCATATGAACTATCACTCAGAGAGAGAACAGTGCTTGCGATGGCCCCTGCACTGCTTCTCTCCCCACGTGGCTTTGATGGCCAGCGCTGGGCCAGGCAGAAGCCAGGAGGCAGGGGCTCCATTCAGGACTCCGAGCGGCAGGGAGGCAGGATCCAGAGAACCTGGGCAATCAGCAGTGCCTCTCTGGGTCAAAGTCTGGAGCAGCGGGACTGAAGTGGCCCTGGGGCTTCTGTCCCTGGATGCTGCAGTGCGAAGATGCGTCCTGTGGTGCCATGGCAACGGCCAGTGGGGATGCGCCTGCGTCCTGCACTTTGACCGGAAGTGCACCCTCTGACATGGCCGCCTCTGACCTTGGCGCATGGGTAGGAGTCAGCGCCTGCGTCTGCTGCTGCCCGAGAGTCTGCACAGGCCATGAGGTAAGGAGCTGTCCTCGACGCTGGTGGCCAAACCTAAGCCTGACCCATCAGCCCCAGGGTCATGCCGGCATCAGGAGAGGCTGCATGTCCGAGGCTGCCAAGCCATTTCCCAGGCGCGTTTCTCTTCTTCAGCCCCTTCCGGAAGCAACGGCTTTGGCAGGCCTCAGACCGGGCCCCCTTGGAGGTGAGTGACGCGTGGCTGTTGCGGCTTCCCGCTGGGGTCTTGGGTGCCGGCGTGCCTGTTGCTCTTGGTCCCGAAGGCTCCGGTGGAGTCGCAGTTGTGCTGTGCGGACAGTCTGGAAGGGTCCAGGGTGCGAGCAGCTGTGCGAGAGCAGAGGTGACTCGATCTCCTCCCAGAACTGTCCCACGTTCCGTCTGTTTGCTTTTTGAGGGCCCAGCCACCCTGCTCTAGACCTCTGAGACTGTTGTCGGGAGGAACGAGAGCGAAAGTGCGTGTCTGTGTCCTGGTCTAGGAGGACAGTTTCGGGTTCCTGGCATTGGGTGTGATGTTAGCGCTCTGTGGGTTTTTCATGAAAGAGCCTTGCCAGGCCGAGGTGTACCTTCTGTCCTAATTTGATGATTTGTTTTTAATACCGCAAAAGTAATGAAGGTTTTGTGAAATAGGTTTTCTGTGTCTATCGGGATACTTTGTGGCTTTTCCCATGTTTGTTCTGCTCTGGGATTAATTGCTTATGTATGGTAGCCGTCCTTGCATTCCCGGAGTAACTCTCATTGCACAGTGTGCTAAGCTTTGTTGTGCTCCCGGATGGCATTTGGTAATATTTTGTTGAGGTATGTGACACATTCATGACGGATATTTGTGTGCCATTTTCTTTATGATGTGTGCTTGTTTTGGATGTTGGGATAATGCTGGTCTGATGGAATAAAATGGAAGGATTTTCCTCTTCATCTCCTTTTTGGAAGGGTGTGCAAAGAACAGATTATAATTATCTTTTAAATGGGAGTTCTCACCAGTAGAGCCATCTGGTCCTGGACTTTTCTTCATGTTTTTGTTTTTATTTTTGTTTCCCTGCTACTGCAGTCTCTTTTCAAATATGAGTGTATTTAGGGTTTCTGTTTTACTGTATTCAGTTTTAGTGGTTTGTGTCTTTCTAACAATCAGTCCATACACTGTATCAACATTGACCAAATCCTTGTGCCTTGGCTTTTCCATAGTGTTTTCTGATTATTATTTTGGTAAGGTAGGTAATCGTGTCCTCTCTGTCTTTCTGTTGTGAAGTCACTTGAGTCTGTTCCCTTTTTTCCCTTGTTTCCTGCGGATAAACGTTTTGTCCATGTCACTGAGTGTTCAAGAATAGTATTCTGGTCTCACTGAATTTCTGTTGTGATATTTGTATTCCGTTGGATTTATATCAGTTTGATATTTTTCCTCCTTCCACTTTCTTAAGATTTACTTTGCTGTTCTAGTGTTTGAAGGTAAAATTGGGTTTATTGATCTGGTATCTGTATTCCTTAATATATATATGGCAATACAATTTCTCATGTGAAACAAGTCCTGTCAACATGGAAAACTGTATGGATGTACACAGTACTGGTAACATATTGAAGGAAACGAATCATTATGTAGGCAGAGGTTTTCACAGGCCTATGCTCATTGCAGCAGGATGCACAATAGCCAGGCTGTGCATTCTGTGTATGTATGTATGGTGTCCATAGCCCATAATGTCTTTATTCAGTCTTCAGGTGATGTGCATTTTGGTTGCTTACATATCTTTGCTCTTGTAATCAGCTGTAGTAAATATGAGGGCAGAGATAACTGTTTGTATGTTGATTTCATTTCCCTTTTGTATATTCCCAGGGCTGGAGTGGTTGGCTATGGTGCATCTATATTCAGATTTCTGAGGTATCTCCATACTGTCTTCCACAGTGGCTATAGCAGTTTACATTCCTACCAGCAGTGGATTAGGGTGTCTTTCCCCCACATCCTGAAGGCCAATGTAGTATTGATTTGCATTTCCCTGATGGCTAGTGATCCTGAGCATGTTTACATGTGTTTGTTGCCATTTAGATTTCCTTTCTTGAAATATGCCTGTTGAAGTCCCTTGCATATTTCTTGATGGGTGGTTTGTTTTGCTGTTGTTGAGTTTCTTGAAAGTTTTTGGGACTTAATCCCTTATCAGTTGCATACTTTGAAGATAATTCTGCCTATTCTGTTATTTGCCTTTTCATTTTGCTGAGTGTTTCTTTTGTAGTGCAGAAGCATCTCAATTTTTTGTTTTCTTCTATTCTTTTGTTTAATCTTTTGTGATTCTCAGATATTGGACCTCCTTGGTTAAATTTATTCCAAGGTCCTTTATTTTTTTGTAGCTACTTGAACAGGTTTGGTCATGGAGGTTCTTTCTCAGCCATGACATTGTTGGTGTATACAAAGGCTGTTGATTTTCTATCCTGCCACGTTACCAAACTTTACTATGAGTTTTGAGAGTCTCTTAGTGGAATCTTTTGGATCTCCTATATATAGAATCATGTCATCTGCACATAGGGGTAGTTGAACTTTCTCCATCCCCATTTGTATCTAACATTGAGAAATGAGAGAAAAAGTACCAACAGGATAACATGCACGTAGAAAATGTCAACAGTGACCTCAGATGCTACCTTTATATTCTATCTTGCTTTGTGGAACACAGGATTTGTCCTATTTCAAACATGATCCATACTTTAAATGCAAGGCTAGTTATGGAGATTGGAGATTGGGAAGCAGACCTGTGTTCCGTGGAGAACCGTGTAGATCACGGGTGTTTCAAGTCCTTGTGCAAATGGGTATATAAGTGTCTGAATAAATAAATTCCAAAGATTTCCTCATGTATAATTCAGAAATAATACCACACAGAATGTTTGTAAGGAAGAAGAGAATGAATGGGTACCAAAACCTTTTCTAAGACTGAGTTAAGGCCGGCGCCGCAGCTCACTAGGCTAATCCTCTGCCTTGCGGCGCCGGCACACCAGGTTCTAGTCCCGGTCAGGGTGCCGGATTCTGTCCCGGTTGCCCCTCTTCCAGGCCAGCTCTCTGCTGTGGCCAGGGAGTGCAGTGGAGGATGGCCCAAGTGCTTGGGCCCTGCACCCCATGGGAGACCAGGAGAAGCACCTGGCTCCTGCCATCGATCAGCCGTGCGTGGGCCGCAGCGCACCGGCTGCGGTGGCCATTTGGAGGTGAACCAACAGCAAAGAAGACCTTTCTCTCTGCCTTTTCTCACTGTCCAATCTGCCTGTCAAAAAAAAAAAAAACTGAGTTAAACTCTTTTTCAAATTCTTGTTAGTAGGGCATGTAGTGCATAAGTATCAAATTCTAGATAAACTCTAGTAGTTGGCCTTGACGTAGTATTTTATTTAGAGCTATGTTCCTTTTTTAAAAGAATTTTGCCTTTTTAAAGATATTTTTTACTTGAAATTAGAGAGTTACACACACACACAGAGAGAGAGAGAGAGAGAGAGAGAGAGAGAGAGTAGGGTCTTCATCCATGCTGGTCCACTCCCTAATTGGCTACAATGGACAGAGCTGAGGGGATCCAGAGCCAGGAGCCAGGGGCCAGGAGAATTGCTGGGGTCTCCTGCATGGGTGCAGAGGTACAAGGACTTCTACTGCATTCCCAGACCACAGCAGAGAGCTGCATTGGAACTGGAGCAGCTGGGACTCAAACCAGTGCCCATATGATGCCGGCCGGCACTGTGGTCAGTGGCTTCACCTGACCCCACAGTGCCTGCCTCTCCTACAGGTTTCCCGTGGGATCCAGCTGTCTGCTAAGCTTGGGAAAGCAGAGGAGAAGGCACAAGGACTTAGGCCCCTGAACCCAGAATGGAGCACCAGATAAAATGTCCCTGGCTTCTGCTTTGGCCTGTCCCAGTGTCAGCCTTTATGGCCATCTGTGGAGTGAACCCCCATATGGATGATCACTAAGAGAGAGAAATATTGTTCGCGATGCCCCTGCACTGCTTCTCTCCCCCATGGCTTTGATGGCCAGGGCTGGGCCAGGCAGAATCCAGGAGGCAGGAGCTCCATTCAGGACTCCCACAAGGCCTGGAGGTAGGGTCCAGACTACCTGGGTCATCAGCCACAGCCCCCCTGGGTCACAGTCTGGAGCAGAGGGACTGGAAGTGGCCCTGCTGTGTCAGACCCTGGATGCGGCAGCGTGCCAGTGCGTCCCCTGGTGCCATGGCAGCTGCCCATGGGGATTGCGCCTGTGCCCAGCACTGTTCCTTGGAAGTGCGTGCACATGTGTAGCCCCTTTTGACCCGATGTGCTCAGGTGGGAGTCCGCAGTGCGTTGGCTCAACCCGAGAGCCTTTTCAAGCAATGAAGAGCCATCCTTGAACCTGCTGGCAGAGCATGAGGGTGACCCAGCAGCCCCAGGGTCAGGCCTGGATCTGGAGAGGCTGGACCCAAGGCAGCCACATCAGTTACCTTGGGCTTCTGGAAATTACTAGGCTCGGTTCTCTTCTTTGGCTCCTTCCAGAAGAGAATGCCTCTTACTGAGTTCCTGTTCCAGAAGAACAGAAATGCTCTTTCTGTGTTGAGTTTGGTGTGTTGGCCTTTCTGTCATGGTGTGTGGCGGGGGCTGGGGTGTGCATGCAAGGGGGTTAAGGGGATAGTAGGAGGAGGAAGAGTGTCAAGGGAGAGCGGGAGCAGAGAGGAATGGGAGAGAATAAAAGGTGGCATGAATGGGGGAGGGTGGAAAATGAGCTAAGAAAAGGCGTGTTGCAGAAAGGAAAGGGGAGGGGGAGTGTGACAGGAGTCCTAGAGGGTGTGGTGGTGGTTGGGAGAGGAAGAATTTTTCCCATGGTCCTGGTACTGTTTTGGGGTTTCCTGTGCCTGGCCAGATGTAGCCTTGGCCACGTCCATGAGAAGAGGCCTTGACTCACGACCTCTCTGCTCTGGGTTGTGCAGCAGTGTAAGGTATGTGTGCAGGGGCACGGGGCACGGGCACTCGAATTAACTGGCATGTAATCCAGTGAATTTTCACAGACTGCACACACGGAGGAGAAGGCAGAAGCTTAGAGAAACACCAAGAATATCTCTGTTATCTGTTCCAGCCCTGTCCAGGTTCTGACACCTCCTAGTAAGTACTATAGATATTTTTTACTTTTTTTAACTTTTATTTAATTAATATAAAATTTCCAAAGTACGATTTATGGATTACAATGGCTTCCCCCCACATACTGTCCCTCCCACCCACTACCCTCCCCTTTCCCACTCCCTCTCCCCTTCCATTCACATCAAGATTCATTTTGATTATCTTAATATACAGAAGATCAGCTTAGTATACATTAAGTAAGGATTTCAACAGTTTGCTCCCACACAGAAACAATAAAGTGAAAAATAATAGATGATTTTTTTTAAATGATGATGAAATCAGATCAGACCTATTGTCATGTTTAATCCCAGTGAGAGTCCAGTTGGGGAGTTGATAATTTCTTTTTTTTTTTTTTTACAGAGGATCAGTTTAGTATACATTAAGTAAAACATTTCAACAGTTTGCACCCCCATAGAAACACAAAGTGAAATATATTGTTGAGTACTCGTTATAGCATTAAATCTCAATGCACAGCACATTAAGGACAGAGATCCTACATGAGGATAAGTGCACAGTGACTCCTGTTGTTGACTTTACCAATTGACACTCCTGTCTATGGCATCAGTAATCTCCCTATGCTCCAGTCATGAGTTTCCAAGGCTATGGAAAGCCCTCTGAGTTCTCCGATTCTTATCTTGTTTAGATAAGGTCATAGTCAAAGTGGAGGTTCTCTCCTCCCTTCAGAGAAAGGTACCTCCTTCTTTGAAGACCTGTTCTTCCACTGGGATCTCACTCGCAGAGATCTTTTTGCCATTGTGTCTTGGCTTTCCATGCCTGAAATACTCTCATGGGCTTTTCAGCCAGATCCGAATGCCTTTAGGGTATTTTTTACTTTTTCAAGATTGGTTTGCAAGGCAGAGTTATAGATGAGGCAGTGTAGGAGAGATCTTCAATATATGGGTCCCTACCCCAGGTGGCTACAGTGTCCCGAGGGTGGGCCATGACAGACCAGAAGCCAGGTACTTTATCCAGTACTCCAATGTGGGTTTGGATGCCTAAGCCTTTGGGCTGCTTCCTCTGCTTTCCTTAGGGGTATGAGCAGAAATCTGGATTACAAGTGGGAACAGCCTAGGGTATTTGGGGCTGCGGGTTGGCTGAGCCATGGCATAGTGGATGAAGCCGCCGCCTGCCAGTTACCAACATCCCATATGGGTGTTGGTTCGAGTCTCAGGAGTTTCACTTCCATCCCAGCTCTGCTGTGGCCTGGCCAAGTAGTAGAAGAGGGCTCAAGTCCCTGGGCCACTGCACCTGTGTGGGAGTTCTGGAGGAAGCTCCTGGCTCTTGGCTTGAAATCTGCTTAGCTCCGGCTGTTTGCATCCATCTTCTATTTTTATCCTTGTATCTCAAGAGCAGTATCTTTCGTGTGTTTCACAATATATACTAAGCTTAATAAAATGAAAAGGTTTGAAGATTTTCCTGCAGTGGCCTTTGCTGCAGCCTCTCCAGTGGGCAGAGCACCAACATGCCTCTGTATTTCCGAGTTTTCAACTTGGCAAGAAACAAGTTGTGAGCTTTAGGACTGAAGAAAAGAATTGTGCAGTGAACACTCTTTACTTTGGTACTGTGAAGTTTATGGGTCAGTTTCTCCGGGATTGTGCTAATAAAGTAACTCCATGAAAGCCAAGGGTGTTGATCCTAAAGACTGAAGTTAGGGGATTACTCAGACTTTGAATTTCAGCTTCTTATTGTGTATCAAGTGATCCAGTGCTTGTCATTGAAGAAGAATGCGTGAATCTCTTTGACGCTGAGGTTGGCTCTGCCTCATAGCAGTGACTCTTACCATTTAGTGCACTTAACAGTCAACTGGGGAGCTTGTTAAAGTGCCGACTCTGGGCCCCACTCCAGAGTCTGTGAAAGGGACAGGAATAAGCATGGCCACTGGGCTCCACACCATACAGGTACAGCTATGGCTTTAAAGCTGTTTCACTTGACCTCATATGTGAGATTGTTAAATTAACAACAGGAGTCACTGTGTTCTACTCCCTATGCAGGGATCTCTGTCCTCAATGAGTTGCATTATGAGAGTTAACTGTAAAACTAGTTCTCTTTTTTATTTTTTTATTTTTTGACACAGTGGACAGTGAGAGAGACAGAGAGAAAGGTCTTCCTTTGCCATTGATTATCCCTCCAATGGCCGCCGTGGCCAGTGCGCTGTGGCTGGCGCACCGTGCTGACCCGATGGCAGGAGCCAGGTACTTATCCTGGTCTCCCATGGGGTGCAGGGGCCCAAGCACTTGGGCCATCCTCCACTGCTCTCCGGGCCATAGCAGAGAGCTGGCCTGGAAGAGGGGCAACTGGGACAGAATCCGGCGCCCAGACCGGGACTAGAACCCAGGGTGCCGGCGCCGCAAGCAGAGGATTAGCCTAGTGAGCCACGGCGGTGGCCCGAAAAACTAGTTCTCCAAACTGTGTGTGTGTGATGTGTGTGTAGTGCGTTGTGTGTGCAACTTGCTGAAATCTTTACTTAATATAGAATTTGTCCTTCTGTGTATAATATTAATTGAAAATGAATTTAATGGAGAATTGGACTGGGAAGGGGAGAGGGAGGAAGAAGTGGTGTGGGAGTGTATGGTGGGAGGAATGGGTATGGTGGAAAAATTCACTGTATTCCTAAGGTTTTATTTATAAAATTTATATTAAAAATAAATAAATAAAAAGGAAGAAAAAAAGCTGATTTTCAGCAATGGGTCTCTTGACATTTGGGTATTCGTAGCCGTGGGGAGTAGTTTTATTCATTAAAGACTTTAGCATCCTCTCTGTTGTTTATACACTAAGTGTTGGTGTACCTCACCCCCAAGTTGTGGCAGGTAAATTCTCCAGCCTCTGCTTGGTAGGACCCATTCCTGTAGATTCTGGCTGGCTGGTAGACAAGTATCATGCACTGCGTTTGAGTTGGTAAATGGTAAGGTCAGTTTTTAGAGTTGTTGATTTGAATTGGTTGGTGGGGTACAATAAATGTCCAGTTATTTTGATGTGGGAATTATTAGGGCTAGATATAGGATTTGGGAGCCATCATCATCTCTAGTTTAACTCTAAAAATGGCTAAAAATATCCAAGAAAATGATAAACTGAGAGAGGAACAGTGGCTGTAACACAGAACCTGGGAAGAGTGCTGACGGTGTGGGAGGTGAGTGAAGGAAGAGGCTTCCATAAGAAGTCATCAGGGATGTAAGGAGAAGGGCAAGAAGCAGAGATTTTTGGAAAGTGATGGAAGTGAGTATGGCCAGAATAAGGAAGGTGACACTCAGCAGGAGAAATGCTTCAGAACTACAAATCCTAAAAAGACTGATGGAACCTAGCTGCTGAGAGATCTTCTTGACTGTAGAGACCTTACTGTATAAGATGTGGCCACTGAGCACTAGAGGTGGTGGCTGGACCATGCTGCAATTTGCTATAAGCATAAAGTTCACACCTCCAAAGAGTTTCCCTCATGACTCATTCAGTCTCCTACAGTGATTCAGACTACAGCCTGGAGGTGAGAGTGACGGGCGGTCTCAGCATCCTAACCACTGCCGTGTCTACCGTGGTGGAGAAGTTCTCCTACATCCTCGAGGACAAGGTTAGCTGCTACGGGCAGACCGAGAAGCCAGAGGCCCCACTGCATACTCTTTGCCAGTAAGAGAGAGCTCTTTGCTTATCTTCTAAAGTGAAATCGCAGTTTAGTGGTCGCTTGTTTAGATGTTTGTTGATGAAAATATGCACTGAAAATAGATAATGTGATGTGTGTGCATTTGGGATTTCTGTTGTGTTTAATTTCACTCTGCTTTCCTCTCCCTTTATCTCAAATCCTTTTGCTTTTAAGATAATTAATTTTATACTTTATTCCTAACAGTGTATTCAAGAAACTTACAAATGGTATAGAGAGTCTCTCTCTCTCTCTCTCTCTCTCTCTCTCTCTCTGTATCTCTGTATCTCAGGGATATCTAGGTTTCTTATAATGTACAGATCACATTCTTCAATATAGAAGAAACCTGATTTATTTATCCAATCCACGTAATGATTGCAGTTTCGTTTTGTGAGATTTTCCCCCTTAGAAGTGTTGATCTGCAGTGATAATCATCCAGCTTGACTATGCACATGTGATTCCTTCTAAGAAGTGGGGGTTTGGGGTCATAAGTCATGCATATTTTTAAATTTAAATATCTATGATCCAGTTTTGGTGCAGAATAACTGCCAATTTGCATTCACACTCACAGGTTGTTAAATCCCCCAGTTTCCCAAGTCCTCAGCCACTTGTGACTGTTGGGGAAAAACTGCCCATACTGGTGCTTCTGGTCTCAGACTTAGTATTTCCTGCCTCCTTATACACTAAGTATTTTTATGGGCCATTGGATGTCTTGGCAACCATCACATTTAGAGCTGAATTGATTCCATCAAATGGACAGCCTCTAATTTATTTGACTGTTACCAACTTGGTGGATGTAGAGTTAATTTGCTGTTTCTGAGAAGTCTCATTGTTCTGTGGCCCATCACTGGCTCAGCTGTTGAGATTTGGAGTTATCACTGCAGACTCATTTGGCATATTTTTGTCTGATGCTCACTGATTCAATCCGTACTTCATTCCTCGGATAATGAGCATTGTAGCACTGTGATTGAGGGACTGGGCTCTGGAGTTAGCCTGTCTGGTTTCAAATATGTGTCTTCTGCTTTCTCTGTGCCTTGAATGATCAGTTTACCTTTCTGGGCCTGAGGTGTTCATTGTGAAATTATAACAGCCCCCACTCTCTCAGTGATCATTCCCCAACTTTGGCACACATCAGATTTTTGGGAAGAGCTTGTTACATCAGAGACTGGGCTCTGCATGTTGGCATGTCTCAAGTAGCAACAGTACAAGCATTTGTGATTCTAGCATTTTCATGGGTGATGCTGACCTTGCTTCCTGGGGATTTTGTTTTGAGAAGCTATTGTGAGTATTAATTGAGGTGACGCATGAACAATGCTGCTTAGCACCATGCTTGTGTTGCCCTCGGTAATTAGGTAAT